AAGAAAAGAGGAGCCTTTCGATTTGATTGCAGACTTACTGAGGATTTAGAGGCTCGAGCTGTTATTGAGAAAACGTGAGCTTCTACGTCATCAGATTATTTCCTCACAAAGCTGGATAGAGTAAGGAGATATCTCATTGCTTGGTCTAAAGAGAAACTGGTGAACATTGGGAAGGCTATCAAATAATCGCAAGAAATGCTCGACACAGCCCTATCTGCTGATGTCCCAAATTAGCCCTTGATTGCTGATCTTAAAGCTAAGCTTGAGAAACTTTATTCCAATGAAGAACTCTTCCGGCGACAGCGAAGCAGAGTACAATGGCTCTATAGTAGCGATAAGAATTCCAATTTCTTCCACTTCATTACTGGAGGCGGAAGAGCAGTCAACAAACTTCTGTGATTGAATCCCCTTCATGAGAGGTTTTCTTCGAGGAAGCGCACATATCCAAGCCAGTTTATGAGGCCATCTCTCCTCTTGTCTAGCAAGATATGAACTCTTCTTTCACCTCCATCCCGATCACCAGTGAGGTAAAGGCCGCTGAGTTAGTCTCCCAGATATCAGGTCTTTTTCAAAATTTCCTCCATCCCCACTTCTATTAAGCATATTGGGATATCAATGGTGAGTTAGTCTCCCAGATATCAGGTCTTTTTCAAAATTTCCTCCATCCCCACCAGGTTAAATGAGGCTCATGTTCGCCTCATACCAAAAATATTTGGTCCTAGAAAGGTTTCTAATTACAGGCCTATTGTTCTTTGCAATGTTCATTACAAAATTATTGCCAAGATTCTCTCGAGAAGACTCCAGCCGCTTCTCCCCTCTCTGATCTCTGAGCATCAATCAACTTTCGTATCGGGACGTTCCATCTCTGATAACGTCCTTATTGCCTCATCTCTGATGCTTTATGGCAGTAAAGACTAACATGAGTAAGGACTTTGACTGTATTGAATGGGCTTTTCTTCGCGAGGTTCTGCTCCGTTTTGGCTTTCATACCCAATGGATATCCTGGATTATGGCTTGTGTTACCTCTGTGTCCTACTCCTTTCTCATTAATTACTCGCCACAAGGAAAAGTCATTCCATCTAGAGGATTACAACTAGGCAATCCCCTCTCCCCCTTCTTGTTCATCCTTTGTTCAGCGGTTCTCTTTGGTCTATGCATTAGAGCACAGTGTAATGGTACCTTGCCTGGCATAAAAGTCTCTCTCCATAGCCCACAAGTAAATCACCTCCTCTTTGACGACGACATGCCGTTCTTTTTCAAAGCTAGCTTAGAAAACTGTTCAACCCTCACTCGCAATCTTACCAGATACGAAAAGGCTTCCAGACAATCTATCAACGTCTCAAAATCTGCTATAACCTTCTCTTCAAACATTGATCTCCAAGAAGAAAGAAAGATCAAGTCAGCCCTAAACTCACCAATGAAGGAGGTAAAGGGAAAATGCTTGAGCATTTTGGACGCTAGAAAAAAAACATATTCACTTCCATTGTGGATAGAATAAGACAGCGAGCTCAAGCCTAGTCTTCTCGCTTCCTCTCACCCGTTGGGAAACTTGTTCTTCTGAAGGTCGTTCTTTCAGCACTCCCATCCTACTCAATGACATGTTTCAAGCTCCCGCGCTCTCTTTGTAAAAGGATCCAGTCAGCCCTTACTAGCTTTGGTGGGACGTAAAAGCGGATCATAAGAAGAAGGCTTGGGTATCGTGGGATAAACTAACCTTCCAAAGAATGCTGGTGGTCTCGGATTCAGAGAAATTGAAATTTTCAGTGACTCTTTATTAGTAAAGCTCAGCTGTAAAACGCTAAGTAATCCCACCTCCTTGGTTGCTCAAGTTCTTTTAGGGAAATATTGTCACTCCAGCAGTTTCATGGAGAGCTCACCCCCAAAGACTGCTTCTCACGGCTGACGAGGCATTATTGCAGGCAGGGAGGTCCTACTTAAAGGCCTTGGTTGGAGTATAGGTTCTGGTGATGAGATAAAAGTCTGGTCCAACCCATGGGTGTGCTCTCTTTCTCATTCAGCACCTATAGGACCTCCTACCTTCCTTAATTCCTCCTTAGAAGTGAAGGATCTAATATCTCCTGTCACTAATGACTGGGACATTGACGAAATTTGTCACCACTTACCTCATTATGAGGCTCCAATCTGTAACCTGATTCTCATGTCACATCGACAAGAAAATGCATTGTATGGTTACATGTCAAATCAAGCATTTACACAACAAAAACAGGTTATGCTTTAGCTAAGCTGAACTCTCAAAATACTTCTCTCTTGAACTTTAATTGGCAGGGCAACATTTGGAATGTCAAGATAGCTCCAAAAATCATAATGTTCCTTTGGAAATTGATGGTTAATGCTCTCCATCTTGGCTCCACTCTTGCTGCTCGTGGTCTTGCTAATACAACTTGCTCTTGCTGTGGAGAACAAGAAAACGCAATCCACTTTTTCCTCTCTTCCCCGTTTTCCTCTAAAGTTTGGGATTGTACCAGTCATCTTCAAGCCAGTTCATTCGACAGATCTATTGCCCTCCTCTTTATTGCTTTAAGTGAAGCGAACCCTCTGTCTCCCACCAATTAGTCTCTCTGAAACTTCGCTCTATCTTTGGATTTGGTGGCACTTATGGAAGGCCATTGAAAGAACCCATCCCGTTTTAAAAAAAAAAACATGTAGACCGGATTAACCCAACTAATTGTAAATCAGCCCTAAATCAATTCAAATCGATTAAACCACACATAACATAACCAGCATAAGACTTAACCAATCCATGAAAATAATTCCATTAAACCAAAAAGTTCAACAAACCATTATTCCAGAAACATAAGCATCCTAACATGTTTCTAAATTTCATTCTAACACCCTAACAAATCCTACAATAATCTAACACATCAATGAATGCCTAGATTATCCTCCTCTCCTCGCCATGATTCCACGGATCACACTTTGCTTTTACTTGCATCAAAGAAAGAGATGCATAAGTATTTCATAAATACTTAGTGAGGCAATCATCCCACCACTGGCTATACACACAAGCACATTCAACCATCATTCAAGGAAAAAGGACCAAACAAGCAATAAAAGACACACAAACAATCGCGTCTGACTATCTGTGTCAATCAACACCCACCACTGGTGTCGATCGACACTCGCGGTCGACACCGGCCTCGATTCTCCGTTCGCGAGTTGTAGCTATCCTCGCGGAACAAAACATTGGTGTTGAGCGACACCCACCACTGGTATCGATCGACACCGACGCTCTGCAGTCGCTCCAACTAACGTTCCTCGCTGGATCTCCTCTCCAATTCACCATCATGATATGAGCGAGACTCCAAGGGGGTTCCACAGGCATCAATCATCATACAAACATCCAAACAAGCAAAGGAATCAATCAAAAAATCATCAAAACACCCAAAACAATGATCAAACATGCTTAGATAAGCCTTGGTCATGCACTCACTTTTTACAAGAAAGAACAGCAATGAAACAGGGAAGAACATAGAAGGATTTGCCTCCTCTAACACCACACAGCACGGATCTTGCCTCTACTAGCCTTAAACCACCAAGATCAGCCACCAAACACCACCAAAAGACTCATAAAAACCCTCAGAAACTCTAGAACCTTTTCTCTATCTCTGGAAGTGTTAAAAAGCGGCTGGGAAGAGACAAAATACGACATTTCCTCTTTTAAACATGACCTAGGGTTAACCAACCCAATAACCACACAATTTCACAATTAAAATCGAGCCGATCAAACCGAAAACATACTGGTGTCGAGCGACACCCTTCAGTGGTGTCGATCGACACCACCCAAACCGGAACACGGGCGTTACAGCCATAAATCTACTTCTTTCGAAGGCAAATTCTGGTAATAAGTTGAAATCTTGAGTAAGGCAATTAATGACGCCAAGGATCCTCACCAAATCTCTCCCTCTTCTTATCTCTGATTTTCTGTGTTTTGTTGATGTTGCTTGGTCAACAGGTTCAGGCAACAGTGGTTTTGGCTGGACCTTCCATGATCCTTCTAATCTCCCTCTTTGGCAGGAAACAGCATCCAGCGCTTTCGTTCCCTCTGTTCTCGCTGCTGAAGCCCTTGCGGTGAAGCACGCTTTATCCTCAGCTCTCATCCATGAGCTCACTAATATTCAAGTCCTCTCTGATTCTCAGATACTTGTCCGCCTCCTTAACTCTAAGGAATCCACTGTTGAGCTACGAGGAATTCTCCACAATATTAGTCTTCTTCGGCTCCAAATTATCTCTATCTCTTTTAGTTATTTCTCTCGATCTTGTAAATCTCGTAGCTGACTCTTTAGCTAAGAGAGCCCTTGTATCCCTTAACTCCTCGTTGTTGAAGTGTAACTGTGTTTTCTTTGTAATTAATTAAATGTTTGCCAAAAAAAAAATACAAAGATTATTGGAGAGACTTTACAATACTATAGAAAAACTAATCAATAATATTACAGAAAATTCTCTAACAATCCTTTAGAATATTTCATTTACATACAATCTATAATTCTACTATAGTCATCTAAGCACCATATAACTCACAAACTAATAACACCCTCAAACAAACCAATAACACCCCCAAACACAATTTTGTTGGTGTCAGTCGATACCCATCTTTACTGTCGATCGATCCACTACTAAATATCGAACACGGTAGTTACAAAAATGCAACGTCTACTACAATAACCAAACATTTTTTCTTCACTGTTTTTCCTCGCTGTTCTATTTACATTTTATAATATGTCTTTCGGTTAATTAGAAAGAACAATTTCACACATTATCCCTCCCAATATTGGCATATTGTAAATGCAGAACATCAACGCCAAACTAAAACCAGATGTTTTTTTTCCTCTTTTTGTAAAACTATTGGACTTTGTTGTGAGTTCTTCACTAAATATACATGGCCATTCTCTCCACACTTGAACGAAGCAAAGGGGAGTTGTATGTACACTGTAAATGTTTAGCTGTCTTTGACAGTCATATTATTATGGTAAGTAAGGCTCTTGAGGGCTAAAATAATTTGCTTTCTTAATTGAACAAGACTTTCTTACAAAAGAATTGTCCCCATTAAAGAAAAGAATTAAACAACTGTGGCCAAACCCAAAAGAGAGAGACGTTAAAACCTGACATATTACCAACAGAGTTATAATCCAAGTCCTTCCTTAGTGAAACCAATCTATGTTCAATGATGTATTGTATTCTTTTGGGTCCAGACCCTTTTTTTTTCTCTCCATGTCCTGTCTTCTAAAACGTTGTCTCTACAAGCACTAACTTCAATCTCTTTGAGTGTCATTCAACTTGTTCTCCAATAAGATCTAGACCCACCAGTAAGAAAGATATCCCCTGAAACAAGAGGAAGTAAAAATGGATTCCTTGAGCCGATAAAAGACTCCGAGTAGCCGCGGTTAGTAACAAGAACGCTAGTGATAGCTCCTTCATGTATATTCTATTGTGCTTCTTCTTCTTCTTCTTTGTTTTTTCAGCCTTTTTCTCAGCTTCTGTTTCGGGTGCGGACACACCTCTCTGATGTTTCGTTTTCTTCCCATCTTTTTCAACTAAACCAGCAAGATCTCCTTCCGATGACCGTCCTGATTTTTTTGTAACAACCCATTCATATGCACTTCCTAGCTGAAATAAACCCGAGACCATCGCGTTGAACTTGGTAACAGACATTGTGTTCTCGAAGAGAAGGTACGGGACGATAAATGGAAATGATTTTGGCGCGGGAAGGATGTTTAGGAACGACATTGTGGCAGGTATGTAACAAACAACCCAAGCTGGAAGCTCAGCTTCAGGCACAAACATAGTCATTGGCAGGATTATACAAAAGAGGGTGAATGAGTAGAAAGGCAAGATAAGCTTCCTCAGGAGAAAGAAGAGGAATATCAAATTGAATTTCTTCCCTATGCTTATCTGCAAACACACACACACAAAGGCATCAGCAACACACACAAAACTATTACAACATATAATACATAAACAAGTCCATTAACATACCTTTGATTTAATGACCGCGGGCAAACAAAGACGAAATAGTTGCATAGGTCCTGAATGCCATCTATGTTGTTGTTTCCTATAAGCTTCATACGACTCTGGTAATTCGCATTGACACTGAGAGAAGCACACAGTTTACGACATTAGCCAAAGAATCAAACAAACATGTTGGTTATAACTTATTTCTAGTTGTGACATTACCTCAACGTCGTTTAGGAAAATGAACTTCCATCCATGAAGGTGAGCACGAACCGCAATGTCCATATCCTCAACGGTAGTTCTTTCGAGCCAACCACCAGAGTCTTCCAAAGCCTTGATCCTCCACACACCGGCCGTGCCATTGAATCCAAAGAAATTCAAAAACACACTGTTCACTTGTTGTTCAACCTCAAAGTGAAAAGCCAAGTTAATATTCTGTAATCTTGTCAACAAGTTCTCTTCTTTATTCACAAACGACCATCTTGCCTGAACCAATCCTAGTTCCTCATTGTCCTGTTATAAAAATCACAGTTAGTAACATAAGTACATAACAATTAAAGATCAAATCAACCTCCCAAATTTAAAACTTTACCTTAAAATGAGGAATTGTCTTTTTGAGGAAATCAGGTAAAGGTTGAAAATCGGCGTCGAAAATGGCGACAAATTCGTAGTCTTTAACATAACTACAGTTCATTGCAGACTTAAGATTACCAGCTTTGTAACCTTCTCTGTTAACACGGTGACGGTACACAATGCGTGCACCTTGCTTCTGCCATTTATGAACCTCTTCTTTGATCAAACTCTGAGTTATTGGATCATCAGAATCATCCAAAATCTGAATCAATATCTTCGATTTTGGCCATTCTAGATTACACACAGCTGCAATAGATTGCTGATAAACCTGTAAAAACCAAAACTTTGGTTAAAAAAGAGCAACAGAGGAAACAAAAACCAATTCAAGAACTTGTTTTTGAGAGTTTTACCTCTTTCTCATTACACATAGGGATTTGAACAAGAACCATAGGGACAAAACAACCATTATGACCAGATTCAAGATCAGAGACAGCATCCGGTTTAGGAACCGGTTTAATCTTCTTGAAACGGATCCAGAAACAACCAAGACAAAGAACGAGTCTATCAAGACTCTGAACAAGGAAGAGAACGATACATCCATTAGCAAGAAACTGAAGCGGAGGAGCAAGATACTCAACACGAAGCAAAACCCATCTCGTGTAAACCCAATCAAAGAAACCTTTAGTGAATATAAACTCAAGCTGAAGCTTAGAAGTCCCAAAGTTCCAACCTTTAAAATAAGCAGCAATCTCAAAACCCAAAAGGATTAAAGAAAGCCATAGAAACACTTTCAAGAAAGAGTAGAAAAGTTTCGATTTTTTCTTCTCAGTGCTCTGTTTCTGAACAGAATCTGTACGGCCATCAGCAATACGACGTCGTACAGCAGTGCCAAGAGCGATCAATGCTGACCCAAGTGAAGTGAGACAACCAGCTGCACGGTGAGCTTTAAGAAGTAGAACCCAAGTGAGTTGTCTTGCGTTCTTGTGTCTCGACTTCTCATGACTTCTTACTAAGAAATCTTCATCAGAAGGTGATTCAAGTTCCACCATTGACCAGTTGTTTGGATTCTCCATTTTTACAACCACTGGTGTTCCTTTACGGTTGTTGTTTCCTTTAGCCCACCATTCAAACTTTGGTGCCATTGTTTGGATTCTTTAGATTCAGACAAAGAGATATAAGAAAAACTAAAATAAAAAAATAAGACAAAGAGCTATAAGTTGGATCTCATTGCCAGCATTAAGATTGAAGGAGACGCGTGTTACTGTACTAAACGAAATTGTAAGAAGTGAAAGAAAAAAAAAAAAAAAACTCTGTTCCCGAGAAATGAGAAAAATGAGAAACTCTTGAAGAAGATTTTAAAAGACAAAGAGCCAAAGAAAGTGGTAACAGCTCAACACGTTCTTGTCTTTTTTTTTTTTTTTTAAATAAGAAGAATATACAAAAACCCAGAAGAATATGTTGAGAGGAACAACAACAGCCAAATGGTCAAATTGTTTTTGTATTATTATTATTCTCTTTTTTTTTATAAAGAGAATATAAAACAGAGAAGGTGACGTTGAGGGATTTGAAGATTCTTGAAGATCAATTAGTAGGAGTTCTTGATCAAATCAGATTAATCAAAAAGTTTTGGATTTTGTGGACAGAAGAAACAACAAAAATATTGAAAAAGATGTCTTTACCAAAAAATTTTGTCTTGGCCTTGTTCTTCTATCCCAACACTGATGTTTTGGTACAATACAACGATCTGAATCATTGATATTTCGCGTGTGATATTAACTAGGATTAGAAGATTTTACCTGTAGTTAATGATCACACGCGAAACAAAACAAGAGAAAGATTAGAAAAGATAGTAATCTAGAAAAGAAAATATCGTAATTTTGAATAATATCCGCAAAAACGTAACGAAGAAGTAAAAATAAAAATAGGATTATGGATTTTTTCAGATATGAATTTTCTGTTTTTTTTACTGCGTGATTAACTTAAAATGAATGGACAAGAGATAAAGAAAAGACCAAGTCTTTTGCCAGACCGTTCATTTAGACATTTGCCTCCTAATTAGGCGATGTTTGGTTGTTTTTACTGATTGTTTTTTGGTCAATTGATCTTTAAAGATTTGTACACATGTTATTACTATTCTCTTGGTCTTGTCTTTATCTTTAAATCAATCGTTAAATTCTCCACGACTTCTCTATTGATTTCTAAATGAAAGATATTATTGTCTTAGAGGTTTATAATTGTTGAGGGTAATATGATTTGGGTCCACTCTAACAAAATTTTCAACCCATGAACACCTAAACAAATAGGAATAAAAAGAAAATTTAATAAAATATAATTAAATCGAAACTTTGTGGAATAAAAATAAATAATTTGAGTTTAGGGTAACCATAACTTAAAATAGTTAAAGGTATTATATTATTAATTATATTTTTAAATAAATTAAAATGATAAATATTAGTTTAAGTTTCTACTTTTTATTCTTAATTAATAATTATTTCATATAAATATATCATACTAAACTATTTACTTAATAATATTACTAGCAATACAAAAACTATTTTGCAATTATAAATTAAACTTTAAAATATTTGCTTTTTTGTTTTTGCTTTTTTAAATAATATTAGGCTTTTTTGTTTTTGCTTTTTTTTTAAAGGAAGGAATCTAGAGAATTGAATATTTCCATGGATTAATTACTTCGACAAACATAAATGAAATTTTGGGAAACATAACTAAAAACTGAGAATAATATCCAATGAAATAAACCAGTGTATATAATACAAAACAACAACCGCAACCGTTAAAAAAAAACAACAACAACCGTTCAAACTGCCAATGAATTAGATATCGAAGGGTCACTCACTCACTCCAATAGAGAGACTTCCAGTTTAATCCCACCATTTTGATTAATTACTTTTTCTAAAAAGAGGTTTAGTCAATATCATAGTCCTACGTATGACGTCAAATAGGATTTCATTGGTTCAAAAGAATCAAAATATCTGATGATCTTGAACTCTTAAATACTCTTAAACACCCTTAAACACTCTATTCGATTTACCGTAAACGATATTACAATGTTTTCTGTGTGTTAAGAATGTCCATATTAACCAAGTTGCCTTGGTTCAGTGGTAAAGATAGGTAAGTCCCGCCACTTGAGTTCGAGTAACATTGATCACGGGGTTCGAGATTTAATATGGTTTCTCCCGGCCTCAAGAGATTAGTTTTTAGGCCTAGAAACCCTTTGAAGTCACTCCTGAGTTATCAGAATAAAAAAAATAAAAAAAAGAATGTTTATATTTTTTGTAGTATTCACTACTAAATTGTGGACTTGTGATTTAGGTACTCTAAAATAAGACATAACATAAACTATCAAAGATGCCGTTACAAAAAATTTATAAGTATCTTTTTTTACTTAACTAAATTATAATAAAATATGAAAGATTCTGTGATGAATTAATTTATTGATTGAAATACTAGTAGAAATAAACTTTTAGTTTATTAAAATAGTTGTATAAAACATATATATCCGTACAATATATATACAAACAGTATAAATAAGGGTGAATTTGAAAAATGATCTTTTTCATACCACCTTTTAAAATTTTCCGTTTTTTAAACCCTTAGAAAATGCCGCTAAAAATATAAGATATACTCAAATATGTGTCTAATCTTATAAAAAACACACACACAAAATACTCTTATAACTGTAGAAAATTTTATAAATAATTTTAAAAACCTTAAGACTTAATAAAATCTTATTTGACAATATAAACAGAAAATTAATTATGGTAGTTAAATGGGTACGAGAAAAACAAAAACAAATCAGATGAAAATATAAAACTAGAATAGAAATACGCAAACACTGCTCTCTTATATGTTCTTAAATACTAATATTACCAAAAACTTCAACAAAAAAAAAACTCATCAAATTTCTGTAAATCATCAAAAACTAGTAAGTTGATTAGAAAATAAGTTGTTATTTTATCTATTTAATTTACATATATTTTCCCGTATTATAAAACCGTATCATAAAACCCATTTTTCCAAGTCACCAATTATTATCCAATTTTTTTCAAGGTAGAACAAATCTAAATATTAGGCGTAAATGAATCTGAATATAGCACTTGTGTAAATGGTGTTGGAAGGATTTTTGAACCTAAGTAAATATGAACCTATGTTTTCTCATCGTTGACAAATTTGAATATCTTTTTACGAAATGCCATACTATATTGTTTTGGAAATTCCAAACAAGCACGACTACACACAAAGCAATGAAAGTCAAAATGCAAATTCTCGTGGCATTTGCAAAGTATTATGATTGTTTTGAATTTGTAGAGTAACTCTTGTCGGTGAGTGTTCGTGGTACGCCACGTTTTGGACTTGTATGGCCGTCGTTTGGGTTTACAAAGAAACCCTCACCAAACTAGTTTATAGTTTATATTGTGTATGTGGCACATACATTGTATGTTAATGGACGAGTTAATAGCTACGTGAATTGTCAACAAGTTTTAAGAATTTAGAAATACTAGAAATACGAGGATGCATTACGGTGCGATTGATCAACGTTTCTGATAGTACTAGAAAACGTGCGAACATTACTAGATATATTATGCTTAACATGTTGGTATCTCTTTATTTATTTAATATTTGACTTTAGTTTTCATGTCAAGTACTGAATTAGTTAGTTTTAGCTCTTTCTTGTTCAGTATACTGAGAGATGAACCATACGAATCGAATGATTAGTGCTTAGCTATTGGCTTATATGAATATGGATAGTCTGGCAAAATAGCAAAAATCAATCCGTACAATTGGCTGGCAGTATTTTATACCCGATATCAAGAAAATAGTAATCTAAACCCACAAAAATTCAATTTTCCAACCTAAACTATATGAAATCAGCAAAAATCAACATATACTGAAACGGTGTTAGTTAATTACTTAACAGCGATGAGTCAGCCAACACCATGGCAATGACGGAACATCGAAGTTGAGTAACCGACGTCGTTTCGCGAGTTTATATATAGGGTTCTCAAGTCGAAGATTTGATGAGTGTTCTCTTTAGCAATTCTTTGATCCGAGGACTCTAAACTCACGAAACGGCGTCATATTACTCAACTTGATGTTTCCTTCATTGTCACGGTGTCGGCTGAATCATCGCCGTTAAATGGTTAACTAACAATGTTTCGATATATGTTGATTTTGGCTGATTTCATATAGTTTAGGTTGAGAATTTGAATTTTTGTGAGTTAAGGTTGCTATTTGCCGTGTATCGTAGTTTGGGTATAAAAATACTACTAGCAAATAGTGCAAGTTTATTTTTGCTATTTTCATGTCTCATGTGTAGTTTATGATGCACCACACTGTTTATCCCGAGTTTGAAATGCTTTCCGACTAATGCCAGAGGGAAGTCCGCCTGCATTTCTAACTTATTTTTTTACTTACTCGAATTATTCATCTTTGTCCATAGTTGGGAATTTGGCACAATGTATTAGGCTAGCCTATACGTAATATCCGTATCCAAAATTCAAACTACATTCAAACAAAAAAAAATTGAATACGAATCTGATCCTAATCCAAATTATAATAATTTATCTAAAACCAGTATGTTAATCGAATTATCCGAAATATAATAAAACCAATCTTTTTATTTTTTGGATATTCAAATTCAACCCAAATAACCAAGTCTCTAAAATAATCAAAAAAATGTTAGAATGTCTATATCCAAAATACTCGACCTCAATCCAATCCGAAATCCGAACGTCCATAATTAACTAATACTTATATATTAATGGAAGTGTCTTCATTTGATATAACTAAAGTTCCCAAGATTATGTGAGTAGAGATTGAGGCTTCTTTAACAGCCTCCAGCTTAATAAGGCGATATTTGAACTGCCGTGTCTTTAAATCCCATGCCTCCATGCTGCTTATATTTGGTCATTTTGTTCCACGATTTTTTTTTTCTTTTGAACTAGACCACCATTTTTACCTTGTGGGTGAATTAGCTTAATATTCATTTTAAAAAAACCTATGAAGATTATAGCACTATAACATAAAAAAATAAAGGAAGTAACCATCTTAGACCATGTTTAATAGTGACACTCATTAAAGTGTCTAAAACTATTATGTCTTACATGAATTTATTTTTTTAGACACCCACAAAACATGTCTTATTTTAGACACAATTCTTAACTATTAGACCAACATTTTCATTAAATTGAATTATTATATTCTATGACCAACCTTTTAAGACACCCTTAAATCTCCATTGTACATGTCCTTACTATGTAAAAAGACAAAGAAGTATTATCATTTTTTAATTATTTTATTTTATTTATTTATTTAAATAAATAACTTTTACCCCCTTACATTTTATTGTGATATATCTTTTCATTAAAATTAATTTGTAATTTGAAATTTATCTTAAAAACTTAGTATTTTTTTCTGCATTTGGCATAGCTTAAATTTTTTAAATCGGATGTAGAAAACTATAAATAGTGAATCTATATTAACATTTTTGAAGTACCTTTTGTGTTCCACCCTTTCATTTTGTGATATTTTCATAATTAACCTCTTGCCATTTGATTAAATAAAAAAAGTTTAAGATGAATTTTGTAATTAAATCATAATAAAATTGCAAAATTATAAATCAATAATTATTACATTTAACAAAATTTCCTAAAATCTCTCCCTAAGAAATCAAATATTTCTCCAACATCTTTATATGATCTTATTTGTTTTTAAAGTTATATTATTACATAAACATATGTATGATAAAAATATTTTTTTTTAACATATGTTGCAATTTGAATTTTTAGAAACGGATGTATATTACTCAAATGATACAAAATGGATGTACAAAAGTATTAATGATAATTGTGTAGCACGGGTAATGTGATGGAACGAGTTATAATTTACATAATTATGATTATTGATATTTTTACGGGTTGTCTACTATAGTATAATTCACAAAATATTTTAATATGAAATTATACTATGTAAAAAAATATTATGTCAATATCATTTCATTATTTTAAATATTATACTTATTTAATTAATTTGATCAAATTACGATTATATGAAAAATAAATTATCATATAATATTCTACGGGTTAAATCATAGAATTAACAATCAAAATATAGTAGTACACTCTTATATACCAAACAAAATTAATAAAAAGAATACATTTTAGGAATGTCGTCTCGCGGTGTACCGCGGGTTAAAATCTAGTAGTTCTAATAATAAGAACATGTTATACTATATATGATTAATATACCATTTTCATACTAGAAGCTCAATAGCTAAATACATGGCCATTAAATCATGAGCCGAGATCATAAAGAGCATACCGCGAGTAGGAAGTGGAATTAATACAATAAATTCAAAAGCATCAAACATCTCTTGGTCGGAAGAATCAAAACACATCGAAATTGTACCAGCCAAAAAAGCACCTTACCTCGGATCAAGAAAAAAAAAAGAAACCGAATCTCGGAAAACGACAAATCGCACAGTTGAACAAGGTGGGAGTAGCTTGTGTAATCTAGTCGAAGGTCCATAGGAAACTGATAAGGAGAGGGGTTTTCCATCTCACTATTCTAGATTCTACCGAATTAGTTGGAATTTAATTCGTCCAAGATTAAATGACAGTTGAATGTTGCCTTATTGCTTGATCCTTATCTTGTATCCAAACCATTCTCAACTCAGAATCTACTGACGATCGCCCACCAACTCATGATTACAAAAACCCTCTCTTCGAAAACCCAATAATCACAAACCAACTCGTCGACTTTGGTTGATCCTTTACTTGGCCAAAGGTCCTAGCCGTACTTCCCTCCACTCATAATCAATTCCTATTGGATGCACGCCAATGGGACTCTCCAATAAGTCTACTTGAATTGGCTCTGTATCAATGGAATCTTCTCATCATCTATACATAACGAATTAGTGTGGTATATTCATATCATAGCATATGAACAGTAAGAACTAGCATTCTTATTGAGACTAGAACTCATAGGGAAGAAAATCGATTTATGGATGGAATCAAATATGCAATATATACAGACAAAAGCATTCGGTTATGGGGAAAATCAATAATACTTCTAATGTCGAATCAGGATCAACTAGGACAGAAATAAAGCATTGGGTCGAACTCTTCTTTGGTGTCAAGGTAATAGCTATGAATAGTCATCGACTCCCCGAAAAGGTTAAAAGAATGGGACCTATTCTAGGACATACAATGCATTACAAACGTATGATCATTACGCTTCAACCAGGTTATTCTACTCCACCTCTTAGAAAAAAAGAACTTAAAATAAAAATAATTAATAGCATGGCGATACATTTATACAAAACTTCTACCCCGAGCACACACAATGGAGCCGTAGACAGTCAAGTGCCCCTGGCGCAAAGTGACCTTGCCACCACCTCGTATACCATCTCCACGCCGATGCGGATAGTAGTGGCGGCGGTGACAATGGTAATAGCAATGAGGGTGGCGGTTGACAGTGAAAATGACGCTATTGACGATGCTGGCGATAACAATAATAGTAATGATGGTTATACGACATGGTGGTGGTTACAATGATGAATATTATTGGTAACGAAGAAAACAATGTTCTATACAGAAACACATAAAATAGAATACATTAAATACTATATAGTATTTAAACAATCTTTATTAATATACTGGTAGATCATTATTAATATAATGGTAGTGATGGGTACAGTTGTAACCGTGGTTGTAGCTATGGTGGTGATTGTGATACATGCAACCCAAGCGATCGAATTAAACGTACACAATAAAAAAATTGTTATACCTTAATGGATATGACATTAGCAACCCAAGCAACTAAATTAAACGCACACAAAAAAATGTTATACCCTAATAGATACAACATAGGCAACCAAATAATTCTTCTCCGTTGCAGCTGAATGTCGCGCAACTGGACCGGTTTTCAGTGCCGTCTTTTTTTATTTACACAGACCTCTCTCCCAACCCACCGCCGTCTACTACCACTCGCCACTGGTCATCGAGATATACATAACCAATTTTGTTACTCAATCATCTCGCATCGGTACGTCTCCACCTTTGTTCGCACCTTGGTTCTTCCGTTATTAGCCAAAAGAGATGAAATCCCTAACAGTGGTGAAGGGGATTAGAAATGGAAGAGTTTAAAAAAATATTAAATAAAAGAAAGGAGAAAACGTAGGTTTTGGCAAGTGAGAGCGTTGGAGAGAGTGAGAGACTGCCCTACTATGTTTCATGCATCAAGCGTAACCAAGTAAATAATACATAAAATACACAGTATATTGCCTTAAGCTGGTTACTATAGTCACCCACTGAATTATAATATTTTTGGAGTTTATCCATGCCAAAATCCCCTTACCTTATTTCACATGTAATTTTGGATATGAGCCGCTAATAACTGAGATTTAAAAACCGAATCAAACCAAACTTTTCTTTTAAAATTTGATTTTCTCGATTATTTTTGGAAAATGTAGGTTATTTCGATTAGGATTGGATTGGTTGGTTAGTTTGTTATTTCGGTTAGTTCACAAAAACTGGACTAGTATTGTTTTGATAAAGTCTGGTATAATCGGGTTATTTAAAAATATTAAAAATTCGATTATCCGACAACATAAGAACACCTCGATTGGAGGTAAGAGGAGGTGTATCTCAGCTATTTTAATTAATAAAAATGAAATTTTAAAGAGATATCTCAGCTATTTTAATTAATAAAAATGAAATTTTAAAGAGAGAAGTGAAAAAAAAAAAAAAAAAAAGAGAGAGATATGGTGTATCAAATGAGAAGTTCAGAGAAACCCACTATATCTCCTTTTGTATATGTGTCATTTTTAACTTGTTTAACTTATAAAAATAAAACAAAATATAAAAATCAAAGAAAACTATATAAAAATATGAGAATTTGGCAAAACTAACCAAGTAAAAAACCAAAATTAAATATGTAAGTACTACTCCAACCATATAACTATGATATCCTCTGTATATATCATTATATCCTTATCACCACCACCCCCTACCCCCTACTCCACTTATTACCACCACCCCCTGCTACCACCATCTCCTACCACCGTACCACCACCTCCGGCCACCACTATTACTTCCAACCACAATATTTGGCCACCTTATTCGACCACCACCTCCTACCTCTTGTCTTCGGCCACCGCCTCCTATCTCCGGACTCCGGCCACCACATCTGATTGCCAACCACCACAAACCACTAAAACACTAAAATGGTAATTTTCTCTATCTTTGATCCTATTCTCCTAAGTTTTTTTAATTATGGTGCTATAAGTTTTGTCCTTTTTTTGCTTAGCTGAGTTAATTGGGCCCTTAATTATTACTAGAAAAGGTTTAAAAAAACCAATGATAGTCTCTCACCGATGGGCATGCTCTAAGCGAAGTAACCAAAGTTCTTGGTAATCTATTAATAAACTATAAAATATAATTCCTTATAATAACTAAACTCACTAATCTTTACCCAGAAATCTGAAACTTTTTTAAAAGGTAAATTCAGAAATATTTTGTAGTCTTGTACATTGCTGATTATTATTTCTCCAACCCAAAACAGTAACCAAAATTGATTGCATCTAAACAGTATTGTTATCAGAATCACATATCCTTCTAAACACCAAGGTGAAACTCATATCCTAACAATCTTTAAGAGAGTATCTATCACCTCTTCTCAAAATATATAAGCTGTGGATTGGTTTTATTACAGATTACAACAAAGAATCTTAATAAAGTAAAAAGAGCAAACCGCAAGACTATTAAATTAACCTATAATGGGAATACACCCAACGAAACCTGTTTTGTTCATTTGACAGTATTCGAATTCCTTCAGAGCGTACGAAGAATCACTTCTCTTTCCTTTCCTCTTTTATAGCTTCATATGAAAGTAACACTTCTTTGAATTTTGCTTCAGCTACAACTGCAAACAATCGATGTGAAACCGTCAAATCCGGCGGGTAAGATGAAAGAGTTTACAACAATGTACCTTTGTTATCTTGATTTTGGTCCGGATGGAATTCCATAGCTTTTTCCCTGAATGCTTTCTGATTGTACGACAAACCCGAATCAAAACTTGTGAAAGGGACCATAAGACTCGATGAGGATTATTGCATCAGAAGGATTCTAGCCAAGTTTACCTTAATCTCAGCTTCTGTGTATGGAGTTGCCCTTGACCTACAAGGCAATAACACAACCCAGATTATGTCCCTCGATATGTCAACCCGTTTACTTGTCGACAGTGGATAAAAAAAATACACTTAAAAATATACACCACCGGCGGTTATGGTTTACATTAACATACTACTTGACATAGCATGAACATCGCGAACCATCAACCCAATCTACTATGTCTAATTCAGAGTTTATATGGGAACGAAAGAGACCCTAGCTTTAGCAAATGATTATTATGACCAAAACTAAGAAGAAACAGGGATTAAAACATTAATCAGTGACCAAAAGTACGATGAAACAGACCCAGAACCAAGAATAACCCAAGTGTATTTTCAACTCTCCCCTTAAGGCTCCAAAACAACCCAATGGTCAAAAGATCCTAATGTGTTCTCCTTCCTCTTATTTTTACTATTCTAGAGCATTTCAGATTCATCCCTATTGCAACATATAGTGTGAAGCTAGAGACTTTGATAACTGAAATTATGTGCTAGTCGTGTTTGTATTTCGTTTTAAATATCAAACTATATTCATACCTGCTGAGCCCTAAAACCGAGTAATGATGTGATAATGGATATACTCTTCTCTGGTTCGGAGGCTCCTGGTAATTGGTCCTTTGGTTTCTATGCGAAGACTCAGTTTTCCAGTACCAATCATTACGCTGAAACTCCTGATGGTACTGCTGTGCACCAGGATCATTTTCTCTCCAGTTCTCGTAGCCCCTCCTAAATTTACTCCTCTCTCTGTTGAAAACGCTTTGCATACGCCTGATACGTTCCTGAAACAGAGCATCAACAGATCTGAACGCATGTTCAAGTGAATTCTACACTACGATAACATGTTTCTACAAAATCATGGATTGAAAGAAGAGATATAACTTTATAATTTAAAATTTATTCTCATTGGTGTTACAACTTTAATGTTACCGATAAAACAATCTTAAAGTCATTGAGAAAATATGCCAAATCTAGATAAAAACAGTTTACTAGTAAATACGCATGGTTGCTGAGATTTTGAAAGTAACTGCTGAGATTAGGTAGATCCAACTCTACATGTAGAACACCCACAATGCTTTCTTTAGGAAAAAGTCAATTAGACTTACCACTCTCTCCAACTCATCCTCGTACTCCTCTTTCATCCGTTTGTTATACCTTCTCCATGCTTCCTCCTGATAAGACGTTCGGAAAGAACCACCTTTCGACGCTTTCCATGCTGAACCAAAAGGCTGATGACATGTAGTAATTAGTCACAAATGCTTATGACTTTTAGCTACTAATGTCACTTAATTTTGGAATTGGGAACTAGAAAAAGTAGCTTAAAGATAATATCTCAGAGTAATTCACCTGGGTATAGCCCGAACGAAAAGCTCCTCGCAGTGTTTGATAAACCTACCGAATAACAGAAAACATCAGACACTAATCAGCCAATGATTAGTCGAACACTATTCCATGATTCCACAGAGTTTCACCAATCAAACTTTTCGACCAAACCACGAGTTACAAAAGCACTCAATTTTTTTCTTTTCGTACCAAAGTTATGCTTCTCTCGCGCAGATTATGTTCAATTGTCACCATATATTAATGATTACCAATAAAAGCCTAATGATTCATCTGCAGATATACAACTGTATAGTAGAACTATTCCGTAATACCGCGATATACAACTGTATAGTAGAACTATTCCGAAACCGCATGTTAGGTTCACTCATTCCATATAACAACAGAAATTACTTCTCCTATCAATTTTCACTCATGCTTCTCTCGCAATTTCCAGTTTTTCACCATTTCCACATGTTTACCAATCAAAAGCTATTAATCTTATCAAACTCTAAAGCTAATCATAGACTATAAGCACACAAAACCCCAAAATTACTTCACGATCATAATTCCGATAACCTAATTGACTCACGGCGTAGGTGCCGACGGTTGCGCAGATCAAATGAATCGCTGACAATCCCAAATGCTTTACGTCTGCTTTATCAGCTTGATCGCGTTCACCATCTTTGCCTTCCATTTTTGAGCTTTACGATGAACAGAATCTTTCGGCTTGTGATGATGATGATTCAATTAACACTGAAACCATCCTCAGGCGAATTCGAATTCGAATTTGATTCTTCGCCTCTCTTCTCTTCACTTCTTAGGATATCAAAATTTGGGGTTTTGAATTTTTTTTTTTTTTTCTCTGTTTTTGTTACGCCACCACCGCCTTAACTTCAACTCGTCGTTCAAAGACGTTGTCTCTCTCCGTCGTAAGACGATGGACAAATTCCTGATTTTTGTTTTTGTTGTTTATACGTGAGAAATATTTGGGCCCTTTATTGGACTTTTTTTTGTCGCTAAAAGTCCATGCAAAACAAAACTTATAATTTTAATTTTGGGTGAATTAGTAGCTCAATATTCATTTTCAATAAAAAAATGAAAATATAGCACATTAATAGTTGAAATTAAGTAAATAACTATTAGGTAATGTAAAAAGACCAAAAAAGACATAACACAAGTACTAAATTAATTACTATATATAACGTTTCATTACTATATAGAACTAGGTTTTACCCCGTGGTAAACCACGGATCTATTATTTTTTTTTTAAAGTTGTTTAATTTTTTTTTTGGTTTTTGTAGCTAACATTTTGTTTTTGTTGTTTTATTTATATTTATAATAATTAAATCACTTTGTATTTGGTGATGGTTCAATGCCTCCATCAGTGAAAATACATTCAACAGTCTCCCAAGTTATGTTGGTGTAGTTCCTCCACAAGTGTAGAACCTTAACTTGGACTCTCCAAGCTATCTTGTACGGACGAACGTCTCTTAAATATGCAAATGAAGCAGAGATAGTAGTTAGAAATAGTATTGACTTTTTAGGTTTTATTCTATGGATGTATGTGTTGCGATGATTTCCTGTGATGGTAAGGTCTGCATTATATATTGTGAGAGATGGTGTAAAGAATCGTTTGATACGAATTTGATTTAGCTTGATTGGCAAGAGTAGAAGATTTAGGTAAGTAGAAAAGTGTATCCATTATATATGCGTTTAATTATAAATCTATCTTACCATATCAGTTACAATAGGCCTCAAATTGAGCAATATTACGTGATTGAATAAATATCTGGAATGTTTGATTGATTCGCTTTGAAGATATCGATGACGTTATTTAATGACAATTATACGATTGAATATTTTGTTTATTTATGTAATTTTTTGTATTTATGTCGTTGCATTAAATTAGATCTCGAGACTGAATAGTATAATATACGTTGGGCCTTCTCAGCAATTTGTAGTCACTATTCGTTAGCACAACTTATTGTTTGAGGCCTATAATAATATGTATCCGATTTAATGAAAGGCCCAACTTTAAACGACATCAATTAATACCGGGTCATTAATATTAGATTTTGACCCGACATAAAGAAAAGAAACCCGACATAACCACTAAAAAACGTCAGTACCCTTAATGAATATTGTAAGAAAAATGTTAGACATTGGTTTTTTGGGCATTATCGTGTAATAATTGATTTTTGAGCAAAATGTACTCCAAAAATGTATATATAGATTCTACTAAAATGATTATTTTAATTTCTGATGGATGGTTGCCAAAGTCGTGGTGGTCGATGGTGATTGGAGTGATGACCATAGGTGGCATCCGGTGGTCGGAGGTGTTGGTGGTTGGTGATTGGAAATGGTGGTGGCGGGTGGTAGTGGTGGCCGGCGGTCGGAGATGGTGGTGGTCGTTGGTGGTGGTGACCGATGGTCGTTGGTGGTGGTGACGGGTGGCCGGCGGCTGATGGTGATGGGTTGCCGACGGTGGTGGTGACGGGTGGCCGGCGGTGGTGGTGACGGGTGGCCGGCGGTGGTGGTGACCGGTGGCCGGTGGTTGGAGATAGCGACGGTGGCTGACGATGGTGGTATAAATAGGAGGTGGTGGATGTGGTTGGAGGTGAGGTAGTGGTTGGAGGTGAGGTAGTGGTTGGAGGTGAGGTGGTGGTGATAGGAATGGGTAGTATATATATAAGAATAAAAAATAAAAAGAATTAAATAAACAAAAGAAAAGAAAAAAAGACAAAAGGGTAAAAACTGTCATTAATACATATAATACATAGCATATGATAGTTTGATGGTTAGAGTGATTATACAATAAATTATAATTTTTGTGTTGGTTATACATTGCAATTCCCCTTTAATTTTATATATAAATATTTTACTAATATAAACCAAAACTTTTAATTTTCGAAAAAGGTTTGGTGTGAGAAGTTCAAATCTATTTTTAAAATTTTTTTAAATAATGTATGCGATTTTAAGAACATTTAGAAAATATGTATTTTTTATTAATATAAATCAAAACTTTTAATTTTCGAAAAAGGTTTGGTGTGAGAAGTTCAAATCTATCTCTAAAGTTTTAAAAAATAATGTATGCGATTGTAGAAACATTTAGAAAATATGTGTTGCGTATTATTCTTAACTTAGTTCGAATGTTTTACATTTTTCTGATATGGAGAATAGAATTGCAAAAACTGACTACATAAAGAGTTTATTTGTATAAAACTCTTAAAAAAATTAAAATTATAAAAAATCTTTAAGTATAATAAGGTTTTATACATGGATATCGTGGATCATGTTTTGTGTAACCTCGGTAGAATATAGGGTGCTTATCAATGGACAGCCGCAAGGGTCAATTAATCCGGAGAGAGGTCTAAATTGACCCACTATCTCCGTATTTATTCATACTTTGTACAGAGGTTTTAGTTGCGAATATCCTGAAGACGGAGCAGGATAAATTGTTAACGGGGATCAAAGTAGCGATTAAGTGCCCAGTAATATTGCATTTACTGTTTGCGGATGATAGTTTGTCCTTTTCCAAAGCAAATAAAGAGCAGTACATGGTTACTATGGAGATTCTACGAGCTTATGAAAAGATGTCACGACAACAAATAAATTTTGACAAATCTTCCATCCACTTCGGACATAAAGTGAACAACTCGATTAAACCAGAGATTCAGGAAACTCTTGGAATTGTTAAGTTAGGCGGGATGGGCTCATATCTCGGTTTACCGGAAAGTTTAGGAGGGCTAAAACACATGTTTTTCTTTTGTACGGGATAGGTTAAATATACATACTAATGGGTGGTCGGCCAAATTCCTTTCAAAAGGAGGCAAGGAAGTTATAGTTAAGTCAGTGGCGTCCGCGTTACCGACATATGTGATGTCTTGTTTTCGTCTTCCAAAGTCGATAACATCAAAACTGACTAGTGTAGTGGCTAAATTTTGGTGAAGCTCAAATGGACATTCTGGTGGTATGCACTGGCGGGCATGCACTGGCAGGCATGGGATAAATTGTGCTCTAGTAAGAGAAAGGTGGATTAGGGTTTTGTGATGTAAATGATTTCAATACGGCGCTTTTGGCGAAGCAACTATGGAGATTAATTGATTGCCCAGACTCACTGTTTGCAAAGGTGTTTAAGGGCAAGTACTATAGGAATGCAACTCCACTTGCACAGATTAAATTTTATTCTCCATCCTATGTGATAGGGGATACTATGTCCGTTTGGACAGACCCTTGGATTCCAGCTCAATTCCTGAGACCAGCTATGAGCAATGGATCAATCATGGATACTTCTCTACAGATTCGACATTTAATTGATCGACAAACGAATTATTGGCGTCTAGACATGCTCCAAGAGCACTTTTCCTCGGAAGATGTCTCTTTGTTAAATGCTCTCCAAATTGGTAATTGGCCGGTGGCAGATTTCTATGGGTGGCATTTTAAAAAGAATGGAAAATATACGGTTAAGGCTGGTTACTATGTGGCTAGGATGCGGAATTTACAAATGCTGATTTCAGAGGTGTACATTACTCCGCTACTTGCAGGCTTATGGAAAGTAAGGAGTCCCCCTAAGCTTCAACATTTTATGTGGCAGGTACTGATAGGTTGCATTATTGTTTTGACCAATTTGAGTAAATGGGGAATTACTTGTGATGTGCAATGTGGTTGGTGTTGTGATCCTGCCCACCAGTTCGGCAAACTTGAGCTCTAGCAAACCTCCCAGTGGGGGCTATTGGGTTTCCAACTACATAAGTTTTTGCAAATATGGACTATATTTTGCGTATACTTATACATGATGAGTACAGATTTTGTCCTTGGATTTTGTTGTATATCTGGGAGGCAAGAAATGACAAGACTTTTAACAATATGGATAAAAACCCTCTGGAAATAGTTCGGCTTGCTAAAGATGAAGCTCGTATTTGGCATGACGCACAGGCCGAAGAATCCCATCCTCCTAGGGAGGATCCCGTAGGAGCCTAGGGAGGATCCCGTAGGAGCCTAGGGAGGATCCCGTAGGAGGAAATGGAATGCGTAGGGTGCCGAATCCTTTATCTTCCAAGTTTATAGGTTATCGATGTTTCATAAACGGGTCTTAGAAGGCCACATATATGAATGCAGGCTCGGGATGGTTTTGTCACTATACGCAGGATTCCTCCACGACGATGGGAGCTTCTAACCTCTGTTGAATTCTTTCTCCTCTTCATTCCGAAGTAGAAGCTCTGGTGTCGGCGATGAGATGTATGATTGGCCATAACTTCAGAGATGTTATTTTTCTTACCGACTGTTCAGTTCTAGTGAAGATGGTGTCTTGTCCTACCGAGTGGCCGACTTTCTCTGTCTACCTGGATGATATCATCATTGATAAGGCAAAATTCTCAACTTTGTCTTTATCTCTTATTCCTAGAAATTTGAATGTAAAAGCAGATTCCTTGGCACACAAAGCTCGTTCCAGTCCGCGTATTATTAAGTATGTAAACAATTGTCCGTCGAGTTGACTCATTTGAGTCAGTTTTAGTTTATTTGATTTAGGGTTTATTAAGTATGTAAAAAATGGTTTTATACAAGCCATTTTAGGGTTTTATACAAATAAACCCTCTATGTACTCAATGTTTACAGTTTTACTCTCCATCTCTAAAAAGTAAAAATCAATCAGGCTAAATAGAAAATGGGGGAATTTCAAAAATATCCCTTTTCTAATACCTCTTTTTAAAAATACCTCTCTTTCTAATTTTATCATAAAATCACAATAAAATTTGGATTTATCAAAAAAATATGTGTAAACTTATATTTATAGGCACAAATTATCTTTATATGTGTGTAAATTTATATATATATATATATATATATATATATATATATATATATATATATTACATAAATACCGTATAAACACCTTTTAAAAACCTTTTAAAAACTTTATAAACCTTTTAAAAACCTTATAAAAACCTTATAAATGTCATTTAGAACCTTTAAAAACCTTATAACTATTTGGATTTAATCTCCCAGTAATAATGATGATCTTGATGTACCTTATCAACCATATAAAAGTTTATGATTTTCATACTTGAAAAGGGGTATTTTTGAAAATGGATAGAAAAGAGGGGTATTTTTAAGAGATTTTTGCACTTATACCCACTTTTAAGAAAACTTATCCCCTTTACACCCACTTCCTACTACTACTGTACTTCAGTTAAGAGAAGTTACTTCTCTATCCCTCTGCTTCCATCTAACCGAATACCCACTCTTTCGTTACATTTAATATTTACTCTTTCATTTTACAGTTTTTCCTTTAGTTAAAGAAATAAACAAAGAGATTTAATCTACATCAAAAGTATAATGAATAGTCACGAGTAGTTATCTCTCTTCTCTTTTCACTTTTTACTCCAAACCCTAGATCCCCAAATTTTACACCTCCAAACCTATCCCCCTCCGCCGGAACCAATCTAAAATGCACCCGTAATCGTCTCCCGCCGTCGTATCTATACCCCAACTGGTGGCTATCTCTGATATGGCATCTAACCGGCGTATCACTGGCTTTTTCAAACCTACGCCTGACGCTTCCTCATCCTCTGGTCCACCCGATGAATCTTCTGGCTGGGACCTCCGTTTACCTCCGCGCATTTTTGCTACAGACCGTTACCCCGACGCTAGGCTGAATGTATACTCCCGGCCGGACATCCTTACAGCCGTATGCAAGGTCCTTCGAGGCAAGCCCGAATTTGAACGAATTTTGAACTCTAGTTTGGGTTCCCTTTTTAGGCTCCGCATCAGCGAGTGCCCAATGTCTTGTAAGTTAATCCACGCGCTTCTCTGCAGGCAAGTCTTGTCCAAGAAGAAGTACGAGTTATGGACAGTCTTCGGTGGATACCCCCTATGTTTTTCGTTGCTCGAGTTTGGCGCTGTTACTGGGTTGTCATGTGCTGAGTTTTCCGAAGATTATGACCCGGATTTGGACCCATCTGCTGATTCTTCCGATGCGTGTTTTTGGGATGAGTTGATTGGCACCAATCGGAAGACCACACTAGCAGACATAAGCAAGACTTTTAAGGATAGGAAAACTACTGATCCACTAAAAAAACTCCGCCTTGCACTTATTCTCATTGTTGACGGCGTGCTCATCGCCTCTAGTTAGACTCACAAACCCACCTTGAAGTACGTTGAAATGCTCAAAGATGTGGATTCCTTTCTATCATTCCCTTGGGACCGAGAATCCTTCCTCAAGACTATATCGACGATGAGGCCTGATATAAAAAGTCTCAGCCAACCATTGGCTAAGAAACTCACGATTATAGCAAGTGAACCACTCCGTTGCAAACTTTCACAGATAAGTTGCAATACAAGTCATTTCGTTTGCAAGGCTTCCCGTTAGCACTTCAACTGGTAGCATATCGGAATATCCCTTATTTACTCGACAAGATTCCTGGGTCTGCTGATCCATGCACTTTTTTGGATTGGTTTCCAGTTGGCATTCCAAAGAACAACCTCCCCCTTACCGACGTCTTGTCTATTGAACATTCCACTAAGGTTAGCTTTCACACCACATCCACATGGATACCCTTTTTGGATCGTCACTTTACCATCATGGTTACTTACCTCTTATTGTCTTTTTTTATCCCCCCATTTGATAGTTTCACCCTTTATTGAAGTTGAGCCACCAGAAGAAGGTTGGGGAGAGTGGGACGATGAAGTTAAAGACAAAAAAATCTCTTTTTTGATCTCACAGATCCAGGATAGTCACATTTTCACAAAAAATGATTGGCCCGGTGGCGATTGCTCGTTGCCTCTAATCTCTCTTACAACCAAGAAGGATGACGTTATACACATGAAACATGTTGTCCCAATGCGCAAACAAGGTTCCGCCAAACTTCGATTCAATCAGTCTCCTCCCAAGTCCAAGCGTGACGCTACCAGATGTTCTTTCACTTCTAACGACAAAACCTTCGAAGATTTCAAATCCTCGGTAGAGAGAGAGAGTTCCAGTCCATTAGGAGAGAGTGAAATGATGTTTAAGAAGTTGTCTGCACAAAATATGAGCCTCACAGCGCAGCTTCGGGCTTTTAGATACAATAGATATCGTAGATATCAGCCTAGACGTAAGACGGCAAAACTTAGTTTTGCTACCGACTTAAAGTTGCCAAAAAGATCAACTACAGTGCCTCCTGAAGAAGTCATTGCGCGAACACCATCGTCATCCAAACCTCCTTTGTCACCAGAAGATAATTTTGAATCCCAACACAACTGGGATCAATATGTCACCCCGGAGGGAGCAGTTGATCCTGTTACAGATCAAACTTCTTCCCCTACGAAAGATGGAAACAAGGTTTGTACTCAATTTTAAGTTGTTTTGTTATACATTGATCAAATTTGTGTCAAGACATACTCATCATGTACTAATTTTGTTTGTTGCCAGATGTCTTCTTTGGACACCAGCTCTCTTCCCATATACGACACTAACTGTAAGGTCAATAGAAGTCACTCATTTGTCCATTTTCCCCTTCCTTCCACTAATTATGTTGTTCCCCCCTTTTTTATTGTCTCCCTGACCAGGCTGCAAGGTCACCTTCTGAATCCCCCTTATTTGACATTGTCCCCAAACCTTCTGACATCCATGAGGCACTGGTACATTTCTATCCCTTCCAAGTATAAATGTTCTTAAGCTTGTCCACCTAATATCCACATGGATACCATTCTTTGGCAGCAAACACATCTTTTGGACCCAAGCATCTCTACAGACCCATCCGCTGTACATACGCCATACACCTCACTATTACAAGATATCATTGGGTTCTTGAAAGCCAATATTCCCCAAAAACAGGACACTAAAGAAGTCAGTACACTATCATCCCATATTTTTCCATTACATCTAAAAATTCCTGTTCATACCTGATTATTGTTAATTCCCTCAATGCGCAAGTCGAGGTTATCAACCATAATGACTTGGCTGAGACTTCTAATCCTCCCTGGTGGATGTGCCCAAATCTTTGCCGGATGTTATAAACTTGTAAGTAAACGAGGTTTTTAATCTAACCATGTGTTTACATGGCATTTGTTTAGGTCAATAACTCATAATCTTCCTACAGAGAGACAGTGGACCCCCCTCCCCCCCTTTTGGATATTGATGCTGAGAAAGGCATTGGTGATTGTTCAGCCAACCCGCATGGATGGATATGCATTTAGTTTTCCTAAAATCTAACATTCTTCTCACTTCCTCTTAAACAAGATACTCCATGGTGATGGCCTAACAGTTCCGTCCAAAACTGTCCCGATAAAGGAACTCCTTTGGAGGATGATGAAGGAACCAAACCTGATGGTTATGTTAGATACTCTATATCTAACCATGAAGAAGGAGCTTCAGACATGAATGAGGTCTTTTTTCTTCTCTTTTCTTTTTTTCTATGTCATACAATAACCCACACTATTTAATCCATACATATTCACTTTTCATTGAACCTCCCCTCAATCAGGTTGTCAAAGGGGATAGTCTTGCGTCTGAGTCCAATACGTCTCCTGATATTGTCCATACAAAGGAAGTCGCTGTGGATAATAATGCAGGTTTGGCTACTGATGGTAACCATGTCCAAACATCTCTAGAAACCAATAAGGTATATCTCTGTCTATCTTTTCTTCTATTTTCTTTGTATGGACGTCATACAATAACCCTCAATCCACACTACTTAATCCACATGGATTCACAATCACTGAAACTCCCCTCAGCCAGGTTGTCAAAAAGGATGGTCTTGCGCCTAAGTCCAATACGTCCCCTGATGTTGTCCATACCAAGGAAGTCGCTTTGGACAATAATGCAGGATTGGGTACTGATGGTAACCATGACCAAGCATCTCCAGAAACCAATGAGGTATATCTCTGTCTATATTTTTTTTAGTAATTTTTTCAAATTGTATCCACATGGACATGATGTCTTAACAGACTTTTGGTGTTTTGAACACATGAATACAAGAGCCCACACCCTCACAATCAAC